GTCAACTGTCAATGACACTTAAGTTTTAATTTTAATATAAATAGATAATCCACCAAAGTAAACAGAATAATGACACACAAAACACAGATAATGTCCCATAACTATTGATTTTTCTGGCTTTCTAACTATGCGACAAGAGCCATTACAAATTCATTCAAACTGGTTGATGTGTTTCTTGTGGAATAAAACTTGTACTGACAGCAAAATTGACAATTCTCTGTACAGAAAACAGTTTAATATAATACATCATTTGATATATGAAAAACCTTGTCTTTCTATTGATTATAAACAATATAGTATTGAACATCAGAGAGAACTATTGGCAATTTCTAAAAGAGAGAATGTGACAGTTGGGTGTAGCAAGAGGGGTCTGATTTTTTTATTTGATGGCTCTGTAACCAAATAAGATTGAAAGCTATAAAAAATTATGTTTTGCATGAGTGAATAAAACATTATAATGAGTAATTTATGTGAAATTTTGTACTTCTTGGAGGGATGGTAAACAAATTAGAGAAGAGGAGATGTTTAAAAATGAAATGTCACAATTCTCACACTAAGGGAGATTCAAGATTTTCTTTGATATTGCCTTAAAAAATTAAGAATTATTATCTATGTTTTGTTCTATAATTATTGATATACCATGAAAAGAAAATAGTTTAATTAAATTTTGAATACAACTAGTCAAAATCTCATGACGCATGGAGAAAAAGATGTCCATGGAGAGAGGATTAATATGTTGTATTCAGTGTTTTTTTTTATTCTAGATCTGAGACACATTACAGAAATTATTGTTCAGTGTTAATTGTTTTTTTCTCTAGTACATAGTACAAGAGTTCCTTTTTATGTTAACTTAAGTGTTTTCTGTAAAAAAATTTAAAGAAGCTTGATTTAAATAATTGATACTTTTTTGTTATCCTAGGACATAAAGAGAAAGTCTTGTAGATGTTTAGTGCTTCTTTATTCTAAAATATGACAGAAGCATTTGTTGAGAATGACCACAGTATTTTGTTATTATAGGACATGGTACAGAAATTCCTGTTAATGATAGCTGATCATAGTGATCCAAACCTCCGCTTTCTTAGTTTCCGGTTGGACTTTAATGAACACTACAAAAGTCGTAATTCAAGACTACAAACATCACTGACTTACCAACACAGGCGGCGATCCCTCCTTCAAGCATCATTATCATAAAATTCTGTAAAACTAAGTAACTTCAGTTTAATAATATGTACCTGATGAAGCTTCTTTAAAAAATTGTGAAAATGTTGAGTAAATTTTTAAACTTATTTATGTTTATCAATAGAACTATAGCCCAGAATTGAATCTTTCTATATTAATACAAGCCCTAAATTTATCACAAAGTTTTTGGAGGGATAATTCTTACAATAGGCTGTGAAAAAAAATATTTTTTTTTTCTGGAATTACAGTGTTTTCTATGAATTTTATGTCATTTTCAACAAATGGGTGTCTTTAAGTGTTACCATAAATATATGTAAGGTGTAAAATATTGGATTTGGTTAACCAAATTCGATAACTATGGTTTTGAGAAGGAATTTAAAAAACTTAAAATGCACAATATTCAAAACAAATAAAGTATAGCAAGGTATAAAGTATTCATTGCATTCATCAAATCTGTAATATTTCGAGTTTATTGATATTTTATTGTTGTTCTTGCATGGAATTTGAAATTTTTATTTTTTGTTATCAGTAACAGAAGCAAAAAATAATTCAAAAATATTTTCTATAAAATGTACTTTTCTACCAGAGATATATTACCTTGTCTGCCTATGTATCTTTCTTCATAGTTTTAAAATGCTGTCCAATCGTTTTTGTTTTTTTATTTCTTTAAATTTATTTGTTCCTCGTGTGCTAATCACAACTCATGTTATTGGCTTTTGTAAGTTTGCACAATTCTTAAAACTCAAAACTATATACTTTTATGTTTCTGTAATATTGATTAATTCTCCTTTAACCATCCATGAGATATCTTGTCAGCATTTTACTTTGGTAAGTTCTTTAAACATTATTCTCTGGTCATTTAACTAAGATTGATGAGTTTTTAAATGTTTATTTTGTTTTTCAAATATGGTTTTAAACTTTGCTTTCTACTTTCAGACCCATTTTGTTTTAATTTTGTACAAAAAGTAAAACAGAAATGTATCTCACAGTTCTACTCTTAAGGAAAGTCTATATAGTGTTTAAAAGACGATATTCAAATTAGCAGATGATATTTTCCCTACAGATTGTAAGAACATATAACATAAATATGTAGTTGAAGTTCATACAGATCATCTCAATTTTCCTGTGTTGAAAGTTTATCAGTTACATGAAATTTAATTATTTTTGTTTTAAACTTTATTATTATATGATTTTTTACCTTTTAATGATTTTTCTGTGCGAGTCTTATCAACAAGTTCTCTATACTTTTTGACTTGTACTATGTGATGTGTTCTGAATTTTTTCTGTATTTTATGTTTAGATTTCATGATGAAGAATACTAAAACCAATACTTAAATATTTATTTCCTTTTACTTCAGAAATATTTGCATATTATGCTTAAATAACATGATATATCATATAAAACCTGTTTTGTTTTCTTGTAATGCATTTTACACCAAAAAAAAAACTTACTGTCAAAAGTTTTTGGGCTTGTATCTTTTTTTTTCCTATGATTTAATTTTTGCAGATAATCACACACATTGTTCAGACTAGTTTGGTGTCACAGAAGGTTAGTTTAATCAAATCGATTTTGTTTTATTATTCTTGTTAAAAACATTTGTGAAATGAAATTATACAGAAGGGTAGTGCATTTGAAATTATTTGTACAATCTGGATATATGCTAAGGACATTTTAGTACTCCTTATTACGTAACAGTCTTTGTGAAGATAAAAATGGAAAGTTTACTTTTTCTCTGATCATTATGAAGGGAAGAATGGGTTAAGTTTGTGTATTAATAACATTGGTATTGAAGTTCATTAGTAATGATGTTAACTAAACTATATTATATTTTTTAATATGAGATTTACAAGAACCTGCTTGAGAACTAAAGTGAAAAGGAAATCTGTGTATATTGTATGAAGCTAGTTTTAAGTTCTTTATAAAAATTTGCATTTTTATCTTTTTTTATTGTATTTTACTTTAATAACTATTAATAAAAATAGTTGTTAGCTATAATAGTTTATAGATTTACTTAACATTTAGTAGTATTCTATCATTTGACATATTTTATTGGTAGTTCACGTAGACTCCAAAATGTACATGATATTTTACGATTTAGTAATTTTTTAACAATCTCGTATAGTGTTTAATTTATGTTGCTGCATTATTAAGTTAGATATATTAGAACTTAAGACTGATAATCACAGTCTTAGCTTGTACAGCTTTCATTTGCATTTGTTTTACATTGTTTATAAGGTGTTCTATTTTTTCTGTACTTTCCTTCAGGAAATGGTAGTACATAATTTTGTTCATCTTGTACAAGAACATTTCTATTAGCTCCTTTTTCTTCAAACTGAAAAATCTTGAGATTCTAAATGTTTTTATTAACATTAAACAACTAAATATGATTTAAAATTAGTATTTATTACAGCAAGGATTTGTTTAGATGATGTATCTCCATACCTTAAACATTTTGTTTTCAACCACTGCATGATAG